TGAGCTCAAACTGCTGACTTTCTGGTAAGTGGCCCAACATGTAAGCTACCTCCCCTAATGGCTGTGGGATCATTTGGAGATGGATCGTTGGGATGGGTCCCCGATGTTCTCAATGTCACGCAATTGTACATGTACGGAAATGACGCTCTGACAGGCTTTAATCTATATGCAGGAGAAAGCTTCAGAAATTTTGTGGGGACATTCTGTGACCTTTTCATTTCATTTTCCCATAAACTTTTAAAAGCCCCCTCATGTATATATTTTGCCACAAGAAAATAATCTAAAACAAAACAAATGAATCAATCCTGCCGTAATGGCTTAGGCTGGGTTTTATAGAGGAGCAAAACCAGGCTGGCTGGCTGGCTGGCTGGTTATGTTGTCATGAGATGCCGCTGGGTCGGTTCTGACTCAGTGATTCACTGCACAACAGAAAGAAACCCTTCCCAGTCCTGCACCAGCCTGACAATTGTTTTTATGTTTGAGCCATGATTGTAGCTATGGTGTCAAACTGTAGAGGAGCAGGATGGATGGGTGGAGATGTTGAGATGTATCTCAAGGAACTGGCTCACACCCCTGTGGAGGGTGGTACATCCGGCTGGGGGCGTCTTCTGACTCATGTGGCTGTCGTGAGTGTCATAGTTAAATCAGTACATCCGGCCGCAGGCTATGGGCTCAGGTCTCAAGAACCTGAGGTCAAGGTACAGAAATGAATGTGCGGAATTGAGAAATGCAGAGAGTTCCATTTTGCCAGACATCCGCATATATTGAAGGCAGGCTGCACACCCCAAGAAACCTCCCTTTGCATTAGATCATAAGATGGAGAAGAATTACTTCATCCGGAGGGTCGTGACCTAGCCAAGGTGACACATGACATTAGTCCTCATACCCATCCTTTGCAGATAAGGTAGTTGAGCGTCTGAAAGGCAGACAGATTTCCCCAAGGTCACACAATGTTTTGGTTAAAAGCAAGTGTTTGTGGTCCTCCTTTGAAAGCTCAAAAGCTGGGCTGACTGCCAAGTCTGCTGGGCAGCCGCCTTCTGCCGGCTGGATCTGGCCGGCCCTCATTGTGTGCAGCCGCACTGACCTGGGCGCACTTCCCTGCATTCAGGCCTCCGGGGGTGTCCTCAGAACTCATAACACTGCTCAGGGGTTCAGGGCAGAACCAGCCCAAACTGCTCTCCTCCGTGGTCTTTCTGCTGCACCGGACAGTCCGCCTGCATGCTTTCCTCTTCTCTCGGAGTGATGTGCCCTGGCTGTGGGCAGCCCTGGAGACGCAGCTCCCTCCTCCAAAGGCTGAGAAAGCCTCACTGCCATTTTGGAAGAAGGTGCGTCTGAGGAACTTTGGGCCAAAAAGAGGTCATAAGACACTGAGAAAACCGAGATCATAAGAGACCCTGTGGAAATGCTTTAATTTAAAAAAATGTGTTTAACTTCCTGGAAAATAAACCATCAATAAATCAAACTGATGGGTGAGTTCAGCCAAGCAATAGATGATGGCGTGGCACAGTGGGTTAATGCTGGGCTGCCAACCACAAAGGCGGGTGGTTCAAACACAGCAGCTGGGAGATGAGGCTCTCTGCTTCCAGAAGGATTTATAGCATCAGAAACCCAAGGGGGGCAGTTCTCCTCTGTCTCCTACGGTCACTGTGAGTTGGAATTGGCTCAATGACCATGGGTTTGGTGTGGGAAGTGAATGGTTACATTCAGGAGGTGTGCACCCCATAGACCAGCCGACCATCTGAGATCAATGGGCAGCATTTGCCCAAGGGCAGAGGGCAGACAGGAATAGGCGAGAAGGTGAACGAGAATGGGAAATGGGCCTGCGTGCGATGAATGATGTTACCCTGTGGGGTCTGCAGTCAAGACACACACCAGCATGAGTGTTCATCGTCGAAGGGAAGACTGAATGGCTCTACATACCACCTGGTTTCAAATCCCACGTCAAATTAAAAACTAGCACATCAATGGCAGGCGACGACTCAGTTGGTAATGATGGCTATGCCTGTTTCCATGTGATTCCCTGTGTATCAGAAACTGCTTCATGCCTGTCTTGGTGACAAATGATCGGGACACTTGTGGGGGGCCGAGTGGATTTGGGATTCTGACCACATGGACAGAGTAGAACCGATAGAAGTGAGTCTTCAGGTCTTTCTCCCATAGAGGCACTGGGTGGGGTTGGAACCACAGGCCAACTAGTTAGCAGCCAAGTACTTTACATGGGGTCACCGGACCCCTCCTTGTGGAGACGAAGAAGCTCTCCGCCCAAGTACACCTTCCGTTTCTTTTCTCTCCCGTTGCATCTATGGCATCCCCTGCCCCACCCAACACCACACACAACACACACACACACACACACACACACACACACACACACATACACACACACACACAAGGACATCATGTTTGCTACTTTCAGAAGATGTCTTCAAATGAATTCATACACACTGAGATTTCTTCCTGGGCATAGCTACTCAGATTCTCATTCTGAAAAGACAAATACTTAACTCCTTTGCCTAAAGACCTACAAAGGTTCTTCAAAAAGCTCCCGGGAGAAGCCTATTCTCTTTTCATTTCATTTTTCTGCCAACTTCTGGGGCCCCCTCACGTACCCCTAAGAACTTGGAGCTCCAAAGTGGTTCTCCAGCCCGTTAGACACCTCTGTAGGTAGGGGTGTCCCCTCAGCAAACTCCTTTAGGTGTCTTGTATAGATGCCGATATTTTATTAAAATTCACATTTTGTTCTCTTGATCCTGAAAAAGGCTTAGAGAATATTTAGCTCTCTACAAAAACAAAAAAAAAAGAGAAAGAGAAATGTTAATGATTAACAAGTGACATCAAAATAGTTTACTTTTACCCTTGAAAGTCATTTTAATGGTTTCCTAGGATTAAGATACTGAACCTGATCCCTCACTGCGCACCCCTAATCCCCTGGGACTCCAGGCCACGGGAATCGACCTTTGTTGGAGGGGCTTGATCTTTGTCAGTTTTTCTTGTGTAGCTTCCAAGCAGACCACAAGACCAGCCGTACCCGGTAGCCGGTGGGTTAACATAACTGACCTTCATGTGAAAGGCACTCTCTCCAGTGTACTGCAAGGTCAGACCTCTTGGTGTGCACGTGTAAAAACCAGAACTGGCAGCCATCCTGCCGCACTTCGGGTTCTGCTTTGGACAAAGACAGTCTGTTGTGCACCTGTCACAGGACCTTGCCTTTGGTCCACGGAGCCCTGGTGGCACAGCGGGCTAAGCGTGGCATTTCTAACTGCAGGGTCACTGGTTCAAACTCACCAGCTGCTCTGTGGGAGGAGAATGAGTCTCTGCTTCCATAAACATTTACAACTTAGGAAACTTCTAGGGTTGCTCTGAACCAGAATCCACCAGACAGCGGTGGAGTTGGGGGCCCTTGTGTTGCAAGTCAGATTGGTGAAACCATACACTTTCTGATGAAGGCATTTTGTGTGGTAGTTTTTGCCTCTCGGTGGTGCCAGTGCTTAAACGGGCAGGGCTCAGACACTAACTCAAAGGTTGGCGATTTGCGTCCCCACCCAGAGCACCTTGGAAGAAAGGCCTGGTGCTCTGCTTGTGAAAAATCAACCCTGGGGAAGCCGCTGCTGCACAGCTCCACTGTGACACACACAGGGTGGACTACGACACACACACAGGGTGGAGTGTGACACACCCAGAGTGACCGGCCATGCGCCCGTCGGGCTGGACTTGAGAGCAGCCGGCATGCTTAGGATGCCCTTCTTGGCGTCCTCTCCAGTCTGCCCTCATCTGGAAGTGACGTGAATCTCAGATGAGAGACTCCCACCTCCGTAGTTGCGATGTGCTCACATCAGACACATTACCATCCGCACGGTGGGCCATGACCTACTTGGCTTGAGGTTGAATTTTGAATAAATGCCCCCAAATGATGAATCTGGATGGATCCCAATCCCGCTCTGCGACCTCGGGGGTGTCAATTTCTGTTGTGTCGCCGGCCGGCAGAGAAGCTAGAATCAGATCGAGAAGAAGGTGGTGGGGCGGAGATGGAATGCATACTTGGCAGGCAGCCAACTGCCTTCAGTACAGTGATAGTCTTACAAGGTTCAAGGCCGTGGTGTTGTATTCCTCACATGTAAAAGGGCTCTAGACCTTTTTCAAGGCTTCATCCATGTGATTAGTCCTTTGAAAAAGCCACCGCGGTAGAAAGGTTCCATCTTCAAAGCCGCAGCCACACAGCATCTTTAGATCTGTCAAGGACCTTTCCGCCCCCTTCCATCTCTCCAGGATCCCTCTGATGACACGGAAACCTTTGCTTTGGGGATCACAAAATACCCATCCCAATGACCCGGCTGATCTCCCCAGCGACAGGTCCCTAATCACTCAGGTAACGTGATTTATGGGTGACCTCCTGTGTGCCAGAGTGGGACTGTGTTCCCTTGGGCAGTTGAGTTTCTTTCAGAAGCGGATGGCCAGGTGTATTCAAATGCCAACCTTCTGGTTTGTTCCCTCTTTGCACCCCCACGGTCCAGACATAAGGCATCTTCACAAGTTGTGGGAATTAGCACATAGACATTCGAAGGATGCCGGGACATTATCCCGCTGGCTACAGTCTACTGCCCTGGTAGAGTTCACCGCTCAAGTTTGTAGCCTTCTGGACACCTGAACTTTAAGAAGAACTGACGTCTTCTGTATTTCTGTGGGCAGTGAGGTTGATAGACAGACACGGTGATCACAGAATGGTGGGCGAAGCCACACGTGGACAGTTGAGACCTCTGGGTGTTAGGCCCAGGTTTGCCCCATGGCGACATGACCAGGGAACTCACGGCCTCTTCTGCTTTTTTGTCTTTCAGACGTACATCCACAAGTACATTGTAAAGAATTACTTCTACTACTACCTGTTCAAATTCTCGGCTGCTTTGGGTCAAGAAGTGTTCTTCATCACCTTTCTCCCCTTCACTCTGTGGAACATCGATCCTTATCTGTCCCGAAGGCTGATCATCATATGGGTTGTAAGTAGCAGTAGTGTGCTGACCACTGCTCACTGCTTGTACGAGGATGTGTTTCGCCCTCTAAATGCTTTCTGCTCATGGTTCCTTTGTTGTTGTTGTTTAACAACTTGGAGTAGGATTCGTTACCTGGTTTCTTTGGAAAAGTAATTTAGACAATTTTCCTTGAGATGGCTGAACGATTGAATTGTATAATAAGTAAAGTATTGTGTTAGTCTGGGCTGACTAGAGAAACAAATCCAGAGACACTCATATGTGTATAACAGAGAGCTTTATATCAAAGAGCAATTGTATATTAAGAAACCAGCCCAGTCCAGTTTACGTCCATATGTCTGATATTAACCTATATGTCCGATACTAGTTCACAAATTCCTCTTCAGACTCACGCAGCACATGCAGTGATGTTGAAAGCAGAAAGTTCACAGGCCAGTGGGTGGAAAGTTTTGTGGAAGCATCTCAGCGTTGGCGTGGCTCTCCATGTGGCTCATCCAGCTCCAGGACTCTGGCTGCCATCAGCATAGTTTCATGTGACTTGTCAACAGAATGTGAAGCAGAGAGCGTGAATGTGTGTCCCACTTCCAGGGTAGAAAACAGGAGTTCCTAGAATTCTCAGGAGAAGGCCATGCCCACACAGAGGCATCATTGGCTATGACCTGATTGACAGGCTAGACTCCATCCCTTCACTCCAGTTGACAGGAGAGTACGTAACTGCCACAATTAGGTACTGATAAAGCTGTTATAAAAAAATAATAAAAAGTCATTTAGGAGCCATTAAAATGGAAGGAAGACAATGTACTCCTTAGCTTGTGATCTCATCCATGTCGCACACCTTCCTGTGGGTAAGCAAAGTAGAGAGGCGAGGTACACAGACCTTTCTGTGAGCCCATGTTGTTGTTGTTGTTGTTGTTGTTTGTTAGGTGCTGCTGAGTCCGTTCCAACTCCTAGCGAGCTGGTGTACAACACAACCAAACACTACCGGGTCCTGCGCCGTCTGTCCAAGTGTTGTGCTCCAGCCCATTGTTGCAGCCACTGTGGCAATCCATCTCCAGGAGGGTCTTCCTCTTTTTGGATGCCCATCTACTTTACCAAGCATGATGACCTTCTCCGGGGACTGGGCTCTCCCATGTAGAGGGACCAAAAATGTACCCTCCCCAAGGGCCTTTTTAGTGAAACTAGTAAAATGTTACCAAAGACTGAAACTAGAAAGAGTTGACCAATCATCCCACAAGGTGTTAGTGAGGCCACTGCTCTCTGAGTACAGGAAACACAAGAGGATGTCAGGCAGGGCCCTTCCTTGGAAAGGACTTCTAGTGTGATCGCGATAGCCTACAGGCACACAAAAACCACACCATAGTTTGAGGTGGAAGTGCTTTCCCGTGCTTGATCTGGGGTCCAGCCACTGAATTCCATCGAGAGCCAAAGGAGTTCGGTCTGATTGGCTGGCGGGTTGGAGAGCTGTTGCGTAGGCTGACCGTTCTGAGGCCACCAGGCAGCATCCTAAAACTTCATGGGCTTTGGCCTGAGTTCAAGTGTTATCAGCTATGTCTGTGGACCTTGACTCATCTTCCTCTTCTGTGAACCGGGGTTCATGACATGGGTCTCCCCAAGCGGTCATGAAGACGTATCAGATGTACATAGAGCCCACTCCAGTTACGCCGCAGGCTCAGGAAGTCGTCGTTTGAGCAAGATGAAAGTTCTGGACTTCTCTGTAAAGGGGAAGATCCTCCAGCTCTAAAATCAAAGATGGTCTCCCCAAGACAGGGGGCTTCGGGCCTCCTCCCCTGCCTCAGGAATGGCTCGGAGGCCCTTGGTTGGGTGCCACGGAGCCTGGGTTCTCAGGTGGCCCTGCCTCTGAGAAGCTGTGGGATCTCAAGCCCAGAATTCTCCACTCTGGACTTGATTGTTCTCATTTGTAGAACAAGTTGCTGGGGCCGTGGTTGGGGCCCATGCACTCAGCTCCTTCAAGGCCAGATAGAGCAATACAGCAGTGAAACAAGGAGTGTCCGGGTGGGGTGGGGGTATGCATGAGTGTCGTCCCCCTGTGACCCGCCCCTGCACAGTGGGGAGCAATGGCCCCTCCACTCCAGCTGTGACTGCAAAACAGGCCCAGAGTTGGCTGGTCTTCCAGTCATTCATGTGAAATTTCCAGGTTTTTACATGTCGGCTTACTGATATTTTTAAATGTTCTATGCTTATGGAACAAAGAGTCCTTGAAGTTCGAATGCCTGAGTGGCTAACCTGAATGGCCAAGGTCCTGGATCATGTAACTCGCCCCCAGGTTCTGATCTCTCCTTTAACTCTTACTTTCCACACCACTGGCCACATCTTCCCTTCCCCACTCCCTCTCCCATGGCTTGCCTCCTGAAATCCAACTTCTATCTACAAGGTCAATCCAAGAATCGGCAAACTGGGCTCTGTGTCCTAGGAGTCAGAGAGGTCTAGTAGTCTCCTGGTCCCTTTCCTTTCCTTGAGGCCAGCTTCAGAGCAGGGGAGGCAGCTGGAGCTGGCTGAGGTGGGAGCGAGGGGGGAAAGAGCAAGAGATCCTTCCGCCGTTTAGATGGGAAAACCTACCGTCGTCCAGGAGTGTTTTCACTCGTTTATTGATGGCGATTTTTGAGTTTGTTTTTTAACTCCCAGACTGTCATGGCAGTTGAGTGGGGTGTAAATGATGTATTTTTTTCTTTTAAAAAGTTTTTTTGGTGTGATTTAGGTGGAGGTCTACAGAGTAGATCACCAGTTTTTCATTCAACAACTTCTACACTTGGTTTCAATGCCTCCGTTTCAGGCCCCCCAGTGTGTCATCTGAATCCCTCTGGATTCAGTGTTCCTGCTGCCACATCTCCTTTTGTCCCAACCACCTGTTTGTAGGCAAATGCTGCCCTGTTGAGCGAGCTTGATTATTCTAACACTCCTGTGAGCTCCCTTCCAGACCTGAAGGGTAATGAAGAGCCGTAACCTTTGGGGGTCCCATCTGTCTTTCTCCCCACCAGTCAGCCTGATCTCTTGACTGATTTTGAGTTCTGTCCCCCATATTTCTCTCACTCTATCCAGAACCTTCTAATGGAATCCTTTTCAGAGCACTCAGTCATGGTAGCTGACACCAGCTAGTTCTTCTGGTCTCAGGGCTTCGAACATGGTGTTTGTCACACGGTCCAGCTGTCCATGCGACTCATGGTTTCCATTCTCGTTTTTGTTCTTTTTTGACAAGGAGAGACAGTTGCACTGTTAATGGCTGCCTAAGCTCTTTTAAGACCCCCAGTTGGTCCACACCAAAGTCAGATGTAGAACATTATCTTTGTAAGTGATAGCAATTGACCCTTGGGGCCCTCTGAGACTAATCCTCACCCCCAGGGCTGGGAACTCTTTCCTCGGGCTTCAGGAAGGTCTTCAGTCTTGGTATGGAGTGGTGGTTAGGTGCCATTAAAAACACAGCCAAGTCCATTGCCAGCATGTCCATTCTCACGCACGGTGATCCTGTGTGTTAGAGAATCCACCGGGTCATTAGGTTTTCTTCGCATGTTCGCCAGACCTTGCTTCCTGCTGGGTGGATTTGAATGACCAACCTTTAGGTTTGTGGACAAGCCCCAACCATTTGTCCCATCCAGGGACCACTGTCATTGTCTGCCAGCGAAGGAACAAATAAGACCTGCACCTAAGGAAAGGAAGAGCACCGTTGAGTCGGTGGGTTGTCGGGAGGTTTGCTGGCCTGTTCCGTGGTGCAGGGATTTTAACATGGTGCAAGGCCTTGGCCAGGGGCCACTGGAGCTATGAGTTAGGCAGTTATTCTGTGTGCTGTGCTGTGGCCGCCGAGCTGAGTGTGGGCAGGCAGGGGATGTGCCTTCTCCTGGGGGGAATCCTGGAGGAGAGAGACAGTGGTGGACATTCTTAGGAGTGGAGAGTATGTGCTGGGAAGGAAGGAGTGCTCTGTGCTTGGCCGGAAGCATGGTGGTGTGGGGCTTATCCACTGGGTTTGTAACCATCAGGTCAGCTGTTCAAAACCATCAGCTCCTCCTTGGTAGAAAGACAGGGCTTTTTACTCTTGTGAAGTGTTGGAGTATGGAAACCCTGCTGGGGCAGGTTTACCCTGACCTATACAGAGCGCTATGCATTGGTATCAACTTGATGGCAGTGAGTTTGGGTTTTTGGGTTATGATCATGAAAAACACTTCTTGTTGGCACCAGTGGGGGTGGTGGACGAAGCCCCAGTGTTGTTGGGGGTTGGGTGGGAAGGTGAGGGGAGCTGGGGAGGGTTCTCTATGGAGCCAGGCAGGGCAATCAGTTTCCTGCTGGGTGACCTTTCTCATGCGGGGGATATCCCTAAATTAATGACCACCTTTTCCCCATGGGGATCAAGGAATGTTAATTGCCTAAGGGAGCGAGTTTAAAGTTTTGTAACTTGAACCATTTTCTCCCACCCTAAATTAGTTGGAAGCCAGCTGAGTTCAGGAGTGTCAACTCTTTTGTTCCATTCTGTATTAATTTGGCAGTTCTCTTTGAAGACCCAACCGATTCCCCTGCTTTTTAAAAAGGCATTTGTTTTACAGGCAGTAACTCATACTGCCCGAGTAGTTCAGTTGGATTGCAGTTGTAGGAACTGCTTTCTCTAGAGAAATGGCCTTAATTCTTTGCGATTCCAGATTTGGGGCTTTCATGAAGTTGGAGGTGGCCCCCTGTGCCCATCGCCCATGGGTATCTTTCTGAACCTTAAATCCTGAAGAAAATGGTCTCCTAAAACTGGCATTTTAAATCCAACTATAAACCCCAAACCAAATTCACTGCCATTGAATGAATCTTGAATAATAGTGACCCTAGGTGGGGTTTCTGAGGCTGTAAATCTTTACTGGAGTTGCTAGTTAGTGGTTTTGAACCACTAACCTTGCAGTTAGCAGTCTAGTGCTTACCTGACAGTGCCATCAGGGCTCTGTAAGTCGAATAGCAGTCTAGGTAAACCAGTAGAAATAGGTTTGCCTGCAGCATTGGGCTCTTTTGAATAATTTTTTAAA